ATGATGATGATGATGATGATGATGTAGTTGTAGTTGTAGTTGTAGTTGTAGTTGTAGTTGTAGTTGTAGTTGTAGTTGTAGTTGTTGTTGTTGTTGTTGTTGTTGTTGTTGTTGTTGTTGTTGATGATGATGATGATGATGATGATGATGATGACGATGTTGACGATGATGATGATGATGATGTTGTTGTTGTTGATGATGATGATGATGAGAAGGAGGAGGAGGAGGAGATGAGATGAGGAGAAGAATCAGGAGCGGGATCATGAGGATGGTGTCGAGGAGCAAGGGAGGACGAAGGGAGGACGAAGGGAGGAAATAGCAGGAAGGAGGAAGACACCTACTGAGACCGATGAAGGGGAGACATCTAGCTCAATCGCGGACGAAGATCTGACTGGGGCGAGGGAGGAGGCGAGGGAGGAGAAGGAAGCTGAACGGCTCTTACCCCCTTGGTTGCAGGAGGGCAGGCCAAGGCATCGTTGCAGGAAGAGTCATCATCGATTGTGCGGGTGAGAGCTGGGAGTCAGCTGGAGACGAGTCGGAGGACTGACGGGATGTCAGGGTTGCAGAAGACGTTCATGTCGACTGGAGGTAGGATGAGAATGTTGAGCTGAACAGGTTTAGGCTGAATTACCTGCCCCGATTAGCTACTGCTCCTTTCAAGCTCCTCGTGACAAGGAGGTGCGACGTCGAGTGCTGCTGCTGCTGCTGCTGCTGCTGCTGCTGCTGCTGCTGCTGCTACTGCTGCTTTTCTTTTACTCGTCCTAGTCCTCGTTCTCTTCATTCCAAATTTACTTCTGCTTGTCTTCTTACAGTTGCTTGCCCATCTTCACTTCTTCTACCTCCTTTGACTCACCTTCCTCTTCATCCTCTTCCACTCAACTTGCCTTCCAGGATTCCTGAAGTCGCGCTCAAGAAACTGTCCGAGACACCAGGGATCGTCTACGACCTGTTTGACAAGGCAGATGTAGCTATTCCGCCAGAAGAGTTTCGAGCAAGAGCACGTGGCGTTGATGGTATGCTGGTGATGCTGACGGACAAGGTGAGAGGTGGAAAATATGCTGCTGTTACTAATGGTGGTGGTGGTGGTGGTGGTGGTGGTGGTGGTGATGATGATGATGATGATGATGATGATGATGATGATGATGATGATGAGGATGATGATGATGATGATGATGATGATGATGATGATGATGATGATGGCGGTGATGATGATGATGATGATGAAGGCGGTGAAGGCTGTGACGCGGACGATGACAACGACGATAATTCTCTCCCGATTGTTATCATGATTTCAAAAGCAACATCAATGACAACAGCTACAAAGACGATGTTGATGATGAGATGCTTGTGGGGAAACGGTGGAGAGGATAGAGGCGAGAACGTCAGCAATGGTGGTCAAACTGATATTCATCAGGTGAATCAGGAAATTATCCAGGCCGCCGGGCCAAACCTGAAGATTGTCTCAACCATGAGTGTCGGGTACAATCATATCGATGTACAGGTCAGTCAGGACATAACTTGTTGCTGAGCGAGCTGCTCATTCCATCCATTCAGGCTCTCTCTCGAGCAAACATCCTGCTCGGTTATACACCTGACTGCCTGACTGAGACTACTGCGGATACGACCGTAAACAGACTGACTTCCGATCATCCTGCTGTTGTTATGCCTTCCTTGACATGATCCTATCGACACCTTGCTTTCATCGTGTGCAATGTGGATTTGTTGTGTGTTGATGATTGATGGTTGATGTTTGGTTTCATGACATGTATAGACAAAGAGCTCTTTACATATGTGTACAATCCTCACTGTCATCCACAAATCCCTCATGTCTCATGACCAGCTGTTCTCACTTTGCAATTCAGGTGGCTCTGATGCTGGTGACAGCAAGGAAGATTGAGCAAGTACGACTGTCATCATCTCCATCCTCTTCCTTCTCCTCCCTCAAGACATTGCAGGCTCTGCAGGCGGTCAGGAATGGAACGTGGGGGACATGGGACCCCCTCTGGATGTGCGGGAAAGATGTACACAGGTTCTCACGATCAAATGCTCACCAATGTTGCTTCCCTTGTCTTGCCTTGCCTCCTTTCGCCTTCTCTTGACTCCAGTCGCCCGCCTGCCTGCCTTCCTGCCTTCCTGCCTGCCTGCCTTCCTTCCTGCCTGCCTGCCTTCCTGGCTGCCTGCCTGGCTGGCTGGCTGGCTGGCTGGCTGGCTGCCTGCCTACCTACCTTGCTTTCTTTCTATTCGTCTTCTCTGCGCAACGAGAAAGTTCCCCGGTGACTTGCGAGAAAGCTCGACCGTTGGAATCGTCGGATGTGGCAGGATTGGACAAGCCGTTGCACGCCGACTGAAAGTTTGACAAGTGCACTTGCGACCTTCTTATCTCAAGACCCTACAGGCGTTTGGATGTGACGTGCTGTACTCGGGGCCGAACAAGAAGGAGGAAGCAGACAAACTTGGCTGCAGGTAGCACGATCGTGTTTGAAAACCCTGGATGGATTATGTGCTTGCACAGATATGTGTCGGAGGAGGAGCTGCTGCGGTCAGTGCTGCATGCTCGCTGTCGACTTGCTCCGCCCTCCTCACCTTCTGATCTCTACAGGACCAGCGACTATGTCGTCCCCATGTTCCCCTTGAACGACAAGTCCATGAGCGTGCAAGGGTTTACAAGGACCATGACGAGATTCGTAGGACACGAGGGTACTTCGGACGCGACAAGTTCCGACAGATGAAGGAGGTGCAGGAGGTGACAAGTCGGAGGACCAACTCAGTCAGGCTGACAGACAGCGATTTTCATCAACGCTACTCGAGGAGAGGCGGTTGTTCAGGTAGACTCACTCGTCCATACCAGCCTTGTCCCCGCCCACCACCCTCCTGAACAAATTGGTAGGACGATCTGGTCGAGGCACTGAAGGATGGGACTATAGCGGGGTAGGAAATCTGTGATCCTTTCCTTCTCCCAGCCCTTGACGTGTGCCGGTCACAGGGCTGGCCTCGATGTTACTATGCCAGAGCCTCTGCCTGTCGACCATCCTTTGCTCTTCCTACCCAACTGCGTTGTGTTCCCGCATATTGGTAAGCATGATAGAGTCTTGTCTCGGTTCCAACAGCAATCAAAGGTAGCGCCTCTGTTCCTACGCGCGAGAAGATGGCCTGTATGGCTGTTGACAATATCATTCAGTATGTGCTCAACAGGTGATCATTTTTGCCTTGTCATCTCAATTGTCTGGAATGATGCTGAGGTGCAGAAAAGTTCTATATCAGGCCAAGTTGTGAGTGCTACGAGAGTTCTGTTTCCGATAAAGAATCGTATGAGATCAAGGCGTTGTGAACGTAGCGATAGTGTCTTTTCAAATTTATTTTGGTACAAAACCTCAAGAAAACAACACACCATCTTCTCCAGTATACTCCAGGATTTCGGTGTGCGTTATCAATCTCTTTTCTAAATAACATCAATCATTCTTCCTATAGCAACTCCACTTACAAACTCATAAACTCTCAACGATTCTCGACATGCCGTAAAGCCTCCATGAACAATTCCCCAAACCCTCCACCCCCCTCTTCTCCCTCCCCCTTGACCTCCCCCCATTCCACATCACCCTCTTCACTTTCCCCCAAGGATTCATTTTCGTCGCTCTTCGCTGCCTCTCTTCCTCTTGTCTCTTGCGGGTATCTCGTCCTCGAGTACGGCCACTTCCCTACACCCAGCAAACGGCACGCTCCCTTGAGCGCCGTCAGGGATATCCCCTGGGCACAGTCAGCTGCTCTGCTGAAAAACAAGGGCTGGCCATCTCACCAGCTCGTGCGCCGCATCCGCCTGTTTGAGATGGAGCAGAGAACGGATCCTGTCAGACGTCACGGCGATCTCGCTCTTCTTGGCTACGAGGCCGAGCTGCTGATGCTTTCGCCTCGGAACGATTCGCGCAATTTTCGGCTCGAGCATCCCCGCTAGTATCTTGCCGGCTCTGTGTCAACTATCACTCTTCCTGAGTACGATTTCACTTGTCCTCCTCCCTGGTCCCCTCTCCTTTAGATTTCGTGTCGACGATGCTTCTGCCTCCTCCACGAGCTCCCCTATCAGTACTCTCCTCTACCTGTGTACCCTGCTGTGTACCCGTCTCCCCCCTGGGTTTAACCAGTCTTCACTCGGGGTCATCATCCTGTCAGCTGAAAAGAGCTTTTCTTCAAAATACATGTTTTCAGAACCAGATCCGGCACGATAGCTGATTCACTGTAGTTCATTGAGGTCCTAGGAAGGTGTACCAGGGCCTAAGGTATGCTAAAGAGCAAAGCTATCCCTGCAGGGATACGGATATAGTCACTATGACGGGGGGTACGAGGGATAGTAGCTCAGCCCAAGGGGTGGGTCCTGGTCATGTGGGCGCAGCGTGCAGGTCACGTGGAGCCTTTTAGGGGGCGGTAAGTGAACGGTCAGCACAGTTTTAATATCTTCTGAATCAGTCAACTTCCCTTGAGTCGTTAAACTGCCGTTACGAAAGCACCGTGGTCTTAATTTTCAGTCAACAATTCAGAGACTATTCTTTCGCCTTCTTGCATCCGTCGGGGTTAGGAGCGACGGTAACGTGACAGTCAAATGACCCCTGAGACTATTATTATCTCTGAGGTTTATCACCAGGGGATATGCTCTTCCAGGGTAACTTTTCCTACCCCCTCTTCTCCGTAGACTTGCCCCCCGAAAGCGACTTCTTGGACTCTTGCACAAACCAGGTACCGGTCACCAGGACATCAATATACTTTTAGTCAGCAATCAGGTGTGTAACCACACGATAAAACCATCCTTTTCACTGATCACCGAGGAGCCGCCACTGTTTCACTAGGGACATGGTTGTTGCTCCTGACAGAGTCGCTCTCGTCGTGCCCCGTCGCTCCCACGACCAGCTCTCCCTCATGCATAAGAAGCCAAAGATCTTCCTCTCCCTTCAATCCATCACCGCCCTCTTCCACCTCCGTCAGTCCGAGGCTGCCCATCGCCTGGTAAGAAGAGCCGCCTGCCTGCATCAGCACAAAAGCTTGAGATGAGGATCAGAGGAGTTGGGGGGAGAAGTTGGTGGCGGTGGTGGTGGTGGTGGGGAGGGGCAGAGGAACTGACGAGGGCATGCAGGGGATCTCGCTGACAGCGTTGAAGAGAGCTTGCAAGAAGGTCGGGGCAGGGAAGTGGCCATACTCAAGATCACAGAAAAGCCCTGGGACACCCACTCAGGGCGTTGCGTCGCAGGAAGCGCCTGAGGAGGGAGATGAGGAGAGCAGATGGATGGAGGAGGGCAGTGAGGCAGAAGACTCTCGATGCTTGCGCAAGAACCAAGACGAGTGGAGATGGGGAGGGAGTAGGAGTGGAGGGAGCGTACTCGATGAAGTCTTTGAAGAGGCGCTACAGCATGTCCAAGGGAAAGTGGTCCGTGCACTGCAAGTTGAGTGTTGTCCCATGCGTCGCCTTGAACGACGGGATCGATGAGAGAGATCGCAACACAGGCAACAAGATACAGTGTAATTGTTTTTGAGAGGGACTACTTGAGAGGGAGGTAGCCAAGATCGTCTGAGACAAGATGTGATCAAGATGAACATATCTGATCAAATCCTTCTTTCAAGAGATGAAATAATGGCAGTGCTCTTGTCCTTTCATATAGTTATTATTGTAATTTAAAGATACGAACTTAATCCGAGTTAACATGTTGATACTGTCGACTGAGTTTTCAAACTAAGGCTCTCATACAACAAGTGAGAACAGCTTGCAGTCCCGTATCAACTACTATTCTCTCAGGCTTCCTAATGCGATACAGCGGTGAGCGATGCTCTCTGAATGTTCCGTGGTTCAGTGAGACTCAAACTTGAACCCGGTTGGCCCATTGGCCGAGTCGGAGCAAGTGATAAACTTGGAAGATCTGTGAGAAACAGTGATTGGCCCTGGTGGGACAATGTGGCCAGTGCTCAGCGCTAGTACCTGCCCTAACCTGCTGCTGCTTGCAGTAAAAACATGTGACATGCTGAAGTCCAGGATGAACCCATGCCATCAGCCACCAGTGGCCTGCAATTGCGGAAGTTCAAAGTCCCCTACATGATGATCTTCAGGGCCATGTTGGGAAACGTTCTGCCTGGTGCCGGGTACGCCTTGCACGTGGACACGGCATCTCACTCCTGAATCTTTGATGAGGGTACTGAGGACGGCATTGCACTTCTCATGCGCATCAGTCCATAACGGGCTGCGGTGCCTGCAGGTTGCCATGTGTGTGGTCCCCCCAGGATGACGGAGAAGATGATGGCATTTATCGCAGTGCGGCGGGAGGTCAACCGGCAATCCATGAAGAAACTTGTCAGCGGCATACACGCCACCGTGCGCCGTAGGCGGCGGGCCTACTAGGCTGAGGGCCAGTTATGCCCGCGGCCGGCCGCTCGCGGCTCAGCGCTCGGTCAACCTGTCACGGGGGCTGAACGAGATGGTGACAGTGGCACAGAGGAAGATCCGAGGGCAAGGCCTTCTTTCCCATCATCGCCAGCACTGATGGACTCTTGCAGGATGATGCGTTGCGCTTTCTGTGGAGGCTGGCGGATCGCTCGGCGAACAAGGAAACGGCAGCGCTGGATGGTCTCTCGGCCTCGCAAGACGTTGAGCTGATGAAAGATCCTGGACCGGATGCGTTTGCCGCAAGACTCGGGCCGTCTCAGCCTCACCGTCACGGTCTGCCGCAGTGCCGCCCGCGGCGGGCCCGGCTGATCACCGGCCGGGCCATCATCGCAGGTGGCCGTCCTGGCACGCGGTATGCGTCCGCTGAGTCTCATATGTTCCGGCGAGGAGGCTTGTGTTGCCCAAGTTTTTACCTTAGTTCAGTAAGTTTATCAGTTTATCAGTTAAGTTAAGTTTGCCCGGGGCCGCCGCGGCCCCGGAATGAGGGTTCATCATCAGGACGGCGGCAAGCCTCATCTACTCCGAGTACGGTACTACGGTAGGCTCGGGCCTGCCAGTGATTGCCAAGTTGTCCTCGTACTGATTTTCAAGTTCTGACCGTTAAAGGCTTTGAGCACGGTAAAACTTTACCGTACCGTGTGACTCGGCAACTTTTCAACGGTCACCGGGTGCGGTGTGGGGCCGGGGCGGGGCCCGGCCGGCGGCTGACTCAGTGAGCCGCGGCGGGCCCCCGGGGTGGGGCCGGGGGCCGGCCATCTGAGTAGGCCAGTGTTTACTCAAAAGCCAGTCACGCCACGAGTGCAGTACTGTACTACGGCACTCGGAGGCTCCTGATTGTCGACACCCAGCCACCCAGCCACCAGAGACCAGCGAAAAGAGACGAGTTCTTCCCTAGGAGACGCTTGCTGACGTGTCATGACCGGCACCCCGATGCGACTCCTCTCCAGTAGTTAAGACCATTTCCAAATCTTCTGGTACGGTCAGCCGCAGGGTCGCAACGGGGGGCGGAGGAGGAGGCGGGAGGAAGCTTGTTTTCAACCTACCACAAAGTATCACATGAACACGCTTCCTTTCATGGCCTCGGGGTCGGAACTTTCTTCTCCTTCCTTATGCCCCTGCCTCTGTGAGACAAGGCCCGCCGTGAAGATATGATACTGCAGGCAGCAACATGGTAGCAGCTACCAAGGCATTTGTCTCTCCTCGACGATCTCGAACGCAGCTCTCCTCCCTCAACAAGAAGCCACGAGTGGTCTTGACCCTCGCTTCCGTCACTCCTCTCTTTTACCGCCGCCAGACCGATGCTGCTCGACAGTTGGTTAGTTTCACAGAGGAGGCGGAGGGAAGGATGGCTCTAAAGGAATGTCTGGCAGGGAATCTCACTGACGGCGCTGAAGCGTGCTTGTAGGAGCATCGGGGTCGAGAGATGGCCATACTTGAGGTCGCCAGGGAGCGAGAGGAAGGAGACAGCGGACGAGGACAGGAACAAGACGCAGGAGGCAGCAGTAGGATGGAGGAGTGAGCTTTTTGCTGAGGCCCTGCAGCATGTAGAGCAGGAGATGGCGAGAGGGCGAGGAAAGTGCGGAGGGAGGGTTGAGTTTTGATATCTGGATTGTATCAAGTACAAGTTTAAATCGAAGAATAAAACCTTATGATCTGAGCTATCCCAACGACAAGATGTTTTAGCTGACGCGACTGAAACATCCCCTGAGTCGTCTGATGTGGTCTACCTGCCTGCCTGCCTGCCTGCCTGCCTGCCTGCCTGCCTGCCTGCCTGCCTGCCTGCCGGAATCTGTTGCTCCCCCTGCCCAAGTCCCTGTCTCTTGCTCTGCTCCTCTCCTCCTTGCCGTTTCCTTCCATCTCACTCTCGCTCTTCCTTCTTTTGTATCTCATATGCTGGCCTTGTACGCTGCATGTACCACTCACCACCTGTTTGCTCAAGATCCTTCTTCACTTCATGGTTTTCAATCATAACAAATAGCCTTCAAGTCTTCTGTTGCAGCTTTCATTTCACACTTCGACTTCACCTTCATGAATCAGATGTTTCAGCTCGCTCCTGTCACCGCCTCGCCTCTCTACCTGTCCGTCTTCCCGTCTCTTTTCTCTAGGCTTCGATATCAATGCTGCGGCCCCTGCCTCTCCTGTAGCTGGAGCTGGAGCTGGAGCTGGAGCTGGAGCTGGAGCTGGAGCTGGAGCTGGAGCTGGTCACGGCTGGTGCTGGTGCTGGTGCTGGTAATTCTGGCCTCTCATGCCCTCAGCCCTCAGCATCTTCTTTATCGTCACTATCATCAACTCATCTGCAATGTTGTTTCAGACGAAGCACGTCAACGGCATTGCAGAATTGGTAAAATATCAATCTGCAAGAATTCCCAGTCGTCGTTCTACAATCATCGGCATTCTTGTTCTTTCTTGTTCTCATTGAAATTTATCTTCTACACTGCTGTCTCTTCAATTATGTTCTTATTATCCTCTACCTCCTGCTCCACTACTGCCACATTTCCACCTCAACTTCCTCCTCCACCTTC